TTACTATAATCGAAGTCAAATTAGTATAATTGAAATCAAATTAGTCCAATCGAAGTCAAATTAGTCCAATCAAACTCGAATTAGTCCAATCGAAATCAAATTAGTACAATCAAAGTCAAATTAGTCCAATCAAAGTCAAATTACTATAATCGAAGTCAAATTAGTACAATCGAAGTCAATTACACGAAAATCGAAGTCGATTTAGTCCAATCGAAGTAAATTACTATAATCGAAATCGAATTAGTCCAATCGAAGTCAAATTAGTACAATCGAAGTCAAATTAATACAATCGAATTCAAATTAGTACAATCGAAGTCAAATTAGTACAATCGAAATCAAATTAGTCCAATCGAAGTCAAATTAGTCCAATCAAACTCGAATTACTCAAATCGAAGTCAAATTAGTATAATCGAACTCGAATTAGTCCAATCACAGTTAATTATAGTGTAATCGAACTAGAATTAGTCCAATCACGGTTAATTATAGTGTAATCGAACTAGAAATAGTCCAATCGAAGTCAAATTACTATAATCAAAATCAAATTAGTCTAATCAAACTCGAATTAGTCAAATCGAAATCAAATTGGTACAATCGAAGTCAAATTAGTCCAATCGAAGTCAAGTTAGTACAATCTAAGTCATTCTAGTCCAATCGAAGTCGAATTAGTACACTCGAAGTCGAATTAGTACAATCGAAGTTAAATTATTATAATCGAAGTCAAATTAGTACAATCGAAGTCAATTATACTAAAATCGAAGTTGAATTAGTCCAATGGAAGTTAAATTACTATAATCAAAATCGAATTAGTCCAATCGAAGTCAAATTAGTATAATCGAAGTCAATTTACTATAATCAAAGTCAAATTAGTACAACCGAAGTCAATTATGGTGTAGTCGAACTCGAATTAGTCCAATTTAAAGTCAGTTAGTACCATATCAGGCAATTATGATGTAATCAAACTCGAATTAGTCCAATTGAACTCAAATTAGTACAATCTCGGTCAATTATGGTGTGATCGAACTCGAATTAGTCCAATTGAATTTAAATTAGTACATTTTTGCTAGTTTTTTTTCGTTTTTCTTCTTGTTTTCCACCGTTTTAGGTTGGAAGCACCGCAAGAAATATTTTCAGCCCAAAAAATTTCCCTAAAATCATTCTCAAGTAGTGGGATTCGTTGGCGTCATGTAGGAAGAATCGAAACTCAATTTCGAGTTCGGACAAGTCCGAACGGTCCCGATATGCGAAGTCGTGCAAGGAAGCCGCCAACTTCAGGTCAAGAGCTTTGAGATAATAGGTTTTCAAGAATAGGTTGGATTTGAAAGCATAATTACATAGAAGGCTTCATTGGTGAAATGTAGTAAAAAACAAAATTCAGTTTCGAGTTCGGACGAGGCCAGACGAGCATGAATTTTGCTAGTCTTCTTCTTTTTTTTATTCTTTTCCCTCGGTTTAGGCCGGAAGCCCCGTAAGAAATAGTTCCAGCCCGAAAATTGGTCAATGAAGCATGCTCTAGTAGTAGGATTCATTGGAGACATGTAGGAAGAATCAATACTCAATTTCGAGTTCAGACGAGTCCTAACGGTCCCGATATGCGAAGTCGTGCAAGAAAACCGCCAACTTCAGGTCAAGAGCTTTGGGATAATAGGTTTTCATGAATATGTTGGATTTGAAAGAATAATTATATAGAAATCTTCGTTAGCGACATGTAGGAAAAAACGGAATTCAATTTCGAGTTCGGACGAGTCCAAACGAGCCCGAATTTTGTTAGTTTTTCTCGTTTTTTTATTCTTTTTCCCCGTTTTAGGAAGAAAACCCCGCAAGGAATAGTTCCAGCCCGAAAATTAGTCAAGAAAGTATGCTCTAGTAGTAGGATTTGTTGGCGACATGTAAGAAAAATCAAAACTCAATTTCGAGTTCGGACGAGTCCGAACGGGCCCGATATGCAAAGTCGTGCACGGAAGTTGCCAACTTCAGGTCAAGAGCTTTAAGAGAATGGGTTTTCAAGAATAAATTAGATTCGAAAGCATAAATACGTAGAAGGCCTCGTTGGCGACATGTAAGAAAAAACGGAACTCAATTCTGAGTTCAGACGAGTCCTAACGAGCCCAAATTTCACAATCCGATCTAAAAAATAAAAAAAAAATTGAAAAATCTGTTACAAAAAAAAAAAAAAAAACAAACGGATTTTGAAAATCCGTTTTTCAAATAAAAACGGATTTTCAAAATCCGTCTGTTTGATTCTTGTCCACATCATTTTTTTTTCTTTTATTTTTTGCCACATCATTTTTTCTTTTTTTAATTAAATAAATGATTCTTATATGTATACATATAATATTTAAATTATGAGTTATATAATGAATTTTAATAAATAATATTATTTTTTATTATTATAAAAATAAATATAATTTATTTATTTCATATATACAATATGGATATCAAATCGAAGATCATCAAAAGATGATTAATTTGATATAGTATATATGTAAAAACCGATAAAAAATACAAAAGTTATCAACTTTTAAAATACATTTATAATTCAATAGCTAATTGAAGGAAACAAATCAAAATTCATGAATATATTAGTCACTTAGTGCCTCACTATGTAAAATTACAAAGAATTAAGGGGTTATATTAGTACAAGTGATATTAAATACCAAAGATAGCTAAATAATATTTATGGAATGTCCGAACCTAGATTATCTATATCTATATAAAAAGAATTACTATTTACTAAAAATAGTAATCCAAAAATTTAGGAAATCATTTATTACATACTATTTTAGAAATTCTTTTTTAAAGTATTTAGAAATTAATTTGAAGTCTTATCCAAATTATTTAGGAAAGAAGTGCATTCCATACATGAATTCCTATAAATTATGGATCTTTAATAAGTGACGGAAAAAAATCATTAGTAAATTTAATTTTTTGGATTTATTATAAATCTTTTAAAGAATTATAATAATGGAATATATATATATATATATATATATATATATATATATATATAAAGAATTACTATTTACTAAATATAATAATCCAAAAATTTATGAAAGCATTTATTACATACTATTTTAAGATTTTTTTTTAAAAAAATTATTTAGGAATTAATTTGAAGTCTTATCTAAATCTATTATATATAAAG